GTTAGTTAGTTAGTTAGTTAGTTAATTGTTTATTGAACATACAATACAACAACAATTGACAAAAGGCAAACAAAATTACAAAAGGAGAAATAAAAATAAAAAGTAAATAAAACAAACATCATCACCGTTATATGCTCAAAGGAGTAGGAAGAAGTATACAACTTATCTAGTCCTACCCCTTGTTGTGTAATAATATAAATAGATCATTTTTCAATGCAAAAGAAAAGGAAGAGATCTACATCTCATCAAGTACTTATGTGTACTGTACTTATCTATTTATACACCTTTCTGTATATATATATATATATATATATATATAATTTAAATCTGTTATATGATGTAATTATATCCTTGAATCAGTCAAAAAATGACAATAGAATTTTATTATGCATGCCCATAATTGACAATGATAGTTTGTCATACAATGGACTTCTCAGCGTACTTCAGCAAAAATTGTTTTTCTGCTTTTAAGGTTGTGATAACTAAGTCATTTCTGAATTTTTTTTTTTTTTACTTCCAACAACTCTAAATGTTCAGCAGCATCAAGTAGATCCATATATATATATTTTTTCATATTTTTGTCTTAGTGTCCACTGCGCCCTAAGCATCTCATCAGTCTGACTTTCACAAAAAGTATTTAAAAAATAAAATAAAATAAAAAAGCAGGTCACCTTTAAACTACGGTGGCGTGTGACCTGCATCACCGGAAGCTGTTCGTGGTCAGCACTCTGCAATTGCAGCTTGCGATCAGAGGTGTTGCCTTTTATTGTTATTATTTTTCTCATTCAGAGTTTGTTTAAAGTACAATTCACCGAGGGCACTGTCAAAGAATGGGAATCTGGAGGGCTGAGAGAAGCATTTTAAAACAGTACACATGAATTACGATACTTAACACGCTGAAAAAGGGCGTCCCATGCCTTCGCGGGAGTTTGGTTGATCGAAAAGTAGATCTTCAGTCAAAAAAGGTTGGGAACCCCTGACTTAAGGGATTAATGCTGTAATCACGGGAAACGCATTATAATTGACAATATATCAACATTTATTCATTATAATGGATGTATTTGCAACATATGTGGGTGCAAATGTTGCAGCGACCAGCTGCAATGGTTTAAAAATGACAGCATGCTGCCATTTTGAAGTTCTGTTTGTTTGGACAATCATTTCAACTCCCTGGTATTGAGGCACAGCTTTGTACATGCTTTATATTGATTTTCTTTTTTAATCCAACAATGCCCATGACTTCATCATTAAAACACTGTCTCTGAATTTTCATATTTTTATTGTCCAAATACATCGATGATACAAGTGACTACGCGTGTAACACATTAATTAACCAACGCAGGGGGTTGCCGGATGTCCTCTGCTGTCTCTCTTTATATCGCCAGTATACGTTTTATCGCACATGTCGTGCACATGCTGACATTCAACAGTTTGTGGACTATATTTAATCAATGCGTGGGACAAAGTATTTCTGATTGGCCAGAAATTCGAGTGAGTCGTGGGACATTATAACCTGGAACGTACCGTGCCACTTTGACATGTGGCACGGCTGAGCTCCATAGGCACGCGAAGTAGAAGCATTCTTCCACTCAGCTTTTTTTAGTCTGTGTTTAACATTCTTTTCTTAGGTTTATTTAGGTTGTCTGGCGCTACAAAAAGTATGTAAAAAAGTACTTCATATAAAAATTACATTAAGAGCAGATGTTTGAATTCTTAAAAAAGATCAGTGGAAAAAACACGGATTTTGACCGACTCAGAGGAGTGAATGCCTCATCAGTCATGAACATCACCGCATGTCACTGGTCTGTTTTACAGGTTCTAGCTGATATATTTCTGGAGGGCTCTCTGCCATTGGACTCATTCCTTGACCGCTTCCTGCCTCTACGTTCCCTTGCTCACAAAAGACGTGTGCGGATAGAGAAATTCCAGGAGGTCATGCGACAGACAAGAGAGGATAAACCCACAGCTACGTCATCATCGCCAGGAATCATCCAAGGCCCCCAAGTTAATCACTGGAATCCACAAATCGCAACAGCAGCAAATCAGCAGCACCAAGCAAACAACAAATGCCAGACCTCCAGTTACTATAATGCTTCCCAACCTCTTCCTTCATCTGCAGGGGCTTCCTGTGGTGTCCCCTACCTCCAATGTCCTTCTTCTCCTTCCTGTACTCCTCCACCAGTTGCATTATTGGCAACAGGCACTGGCCCAGTCCTTCCCTCATCACAGGTAGTATCATCTGCAGGATTACCTTTTGCTCCGGCAGGGAGCTGCACTGGTCCCAGGCCAGCATTTAGACCGATGGCTTCAGTCCCTTGCCCTTATCCAACGCAGTCATCTTTCTCTGCCCCAAACCCAGGATCAGCTTTTGGCCAATACACACGAAACCACCCCCAAAGCAATACTGCAGTATACGCAGCTTCATATCGTGATGGTGGTTATAATTATCCAGCCAGTTCTGCTCATTACAATTCTCAGTCACCAACTGAAAGACCGATTTGCAGACCTGGAAATGGAGTACCGCAGCCATATTTTTGAAAGTATCTACTGCTCATTTTTCCTACTATGCCCTAATTCCACACACTTAATCCACCCTTTGCTGACAGGTTTCTCAGCCTAATTGCTACCCCCTCTTGTCTCTGTGTCATCTACTGTGACCTTTTCTTCAACTTTCAGATTTTAGGTTGTTATTCTGTCTTTTAATATTATGGTGGTTTTCTTTATTCCCTTAACCCCCACACCCTAGTCTCAGGTTGTTTATGGTTCTTAAAACAGTGATGGGGGACTCTTGTTATATGACTTGACTTGAGTCAGACTCAAGTTGCTATTTTTAGGATCTGCGGCTTGCATGCCAAAAACTTGATTTGACTTTATTGGGACTTGACATCTAAAGGCGTTTCCATAAGGCCCGCTCCACACCGAGACGGCCTCGCTTAACCCTGGATGTTCGCTTTTCCACTGGACTTTTTTGCGGCTGGGAACCGCTTTTCAGAACCATCTTGGAGGTGGTTTTAAAACGGTGGTTTTAAAACGCAGGTCCCAGCGCGTCTGTGTTGTCACTGTTATTTGATTGGCCAACAGCGATGCGGCAAGGAACTCCGCCGCCCATGTCCTGGTTTTAGACGAGCTGCCCGCTGGCCATCTGCAAAGTCATAAATATACAGAATATACAATAAATATAATTTTGACACCAACGTTGAACCATATTTACTTAAAATTTCATGTGTACTCATGGGTGCATTTTTGATGATGTTGTAAGGGTGCATACGCTTGCTCGCTGGGTCACATTCACTTGAATGAGAGGTCTCCAGAGGCGAGCCTCCTTGTCGCCCCTCCGGAACTACCGATTGTTCCCCCAACCCCACAGGGAATGGCAGCTTTGGGTGAACGCCGGAGGCCTCCAGATGCCGCAGAGTGAGGTCGATGAGCCACTGACTCAGAGAGGCGGCCAAATGAATGAGTTAGCTCTCCAAAATGAATGAGCCCTGGCGCCGAGCTTTGCATGCAGCTCGCGAAATCGCGATCCCGCACTTTCATCCATGGTACATATGTAATTGGAAATATGGTTCAGTGTTGTAAGACACAAAGAATGTCCGCTGTATACACTGTATTTTTGTCTTGACAGTGGCTGGCTGTCTCACTGTCTGAAAGCCAGAAAGTGATTTTTCGTCTATGTGAAAACGTTTGAGCATTGTTGAGCTGCACTTTGCAATGTTGCCACATCGTGCAACAACAATTCATATTTACTATCTCCCCCAAAACAGTGGCTTTGACTCGCCGTTTGCGAAATGTCATTTTACATGCTGCGAGTGTAAATCATGCAGCACAAGCTTGCACTGTTCAGTTCATCCCACCTTCATCCCGCCGTGTGCCTGTCGTAATGGAAAAGCAACGGCGGCCTCGTGGTGTAGTGCCCAGCATAACGGAGTGGTGTGGTATGTATGGGGCTGATTGGGGCAAATGGCGTCATAAGTGACTCGACTTGACTTAGACTGAAACTACATGACTTGGCAAGTTATCTTGTTTATACTTTGAATTCTGCATTTTAACAGTTTGCCTTTTTTTTTAAGGAAAGAAACTTTTTTTTTTTTTTCCATTCATGGCAACCTGGCAAGTGGCAACCCAGTCAGCAGCTGTGACGGAATGTCCACCCTTATTTCCTAACTCCTGAGTCACTTTATACTTTGTGTAGAACTATATAGTTGTCCCCTCATTCTTTTTATCGATTCGGACAGCCAGCTCACTCACTACTTGCGCCTCGTCGCATATCAGGTGACCACGTATCTATCATGATACTCTGGCGCATTAAGCTCTATGACTATTGTGAATAACAAAAAACATATTTTAAACTACCTGTATTTTATTTCCCTTGAACATATTTTGCGCCATGTTGTTTTCCTGCTTTCAATGCATTGTGGTCCAAATCAACCTGTTAAGTAAACATCTATGTACTTTTCCTAGTGCATTATGGGTTATTTTGAGTGCACTACATTTATCCTCCCTGGCCATTCGGACTCCCCTCCAAAATGATGTAACCCCTTAATAGTGCACTATATACTGTAGGAGTGTAGGGACTAGTGTGTACATTCTGACAGAGCCAGCGTCACTTCTTGGTGTGATGTAGCGGTGGTGGAAACAACTCGTAAGATCATTATTTAGAATTAATGGATTAAAGGCTTAATATTGGCACTTATATAATAGGTCTGTATGTAAAACGGTGGTAGTGGGTTTCGTCCATCCTTGTAATCATCCCTAACCGGGTCAAGTACCTACGGAGGCCCATTTAACGACTGAAAGAAACAAGCACAATCTGTTTTGCGTGTGTAATCCTCCAATACACTACTTCAGACTGAATGTGAAATATCACGACACACCGCTTGCCTCGTGCGTACTTGTCCTCCGTCCCAAAAAAGTTAACGCATCACCAGTCAATCTGATGATCCATGGTGGTTGTGTTGGCAGCTTCAAACGCATCACTGGTCACCCAAACACGCACACTGCATAGGGAACACGCCAGCGGAGCACAGGGAGGCGTGGGTGGACTAAATTCAATTACATTAAATACAACACTCCTCTTCCTAGCTCCGCTGCTGAGGAAAGGGGTTTTTCAAAAGCCGGTGACATCCTCCGGCCAAAGAGGACCGCCCTGGTCTTCCTCAAAGGGAACATGTCCCTATTGGGGAACCCCACCAACAAAGGGCAGTTTAAGGAGGAAAAGCAGCAGGGGTCCGAACACAAAAAAAAAAACAAAAAAAAAAAAACAAGAGTGTATTTTTTGTGTGTAAAGTTGTCCACGCTGTTCATAATATATAGTTTTTGTGTGTAAAGTGATCCATACTGTTTCACAATAAATGCAATTGTGTGCTAGCCTGTTGTACTTTTTTTTTTTTTTTTTACTGCTTGTCTTAAAATAGTGGTGATTTGAAGAGTGAGTCGCATGGGTGTGGAAAAATATTTAGAATTCAAATATTTGCTTGGAGCAGAATAAAATCACTGTACACTGTTGCATGTACTGGCCCGCTGTGTAAGCCATACTATAGCTTTGTGGGGGACATACATACATGTGGTGGTAAACGGTTCGTCAAAATGTTAATCCAGAAGTGGATGCCCGAAAGGTAAGTGCATGTGAAGAGGAAATTAGCCAGCTAATAAGCTTTAAATTATGTTTATGAATTATTAAACCACTGCCGTTAGCCTCTCTCCCACAGTGTCCTGGATATGCTTTTTTTTTTTTTTGGGTGGGTGGACAGACTGGTGAAATGTAAGGAGGAAGCGCTTTAAAAGGACAAAGACGGACAGGGACTGAGGACTATTATTTTATGAACAAGGATTTGGGGACAATCACGGAAGAGTCCCCATGTTGCGGACTGAGGACAGACTGGTAAAATAGGGTAGAGTGCCCATCTGTGGAAACATCGGACTTCCAGCGATGAGACCGACGCCATCAGTTGAGTATGGCCATTTAAAGCAACTGATTTTCGGATAGACAGTGAAGGGAGTACCCCATAGAGGTGGACCTCGGGGGAAAAAGTAAGTCAAGCTACCCCTTACAGATTTAAATGTAATACACCTGTATATAATGACCTATGAACAAGTCACCTTACGAAAAGCCTCTTGGAATCCATTGTGTGTGAGTATCTTGGTGACTTATAAAAGAAAACTGATAGACATGAGAAAAACTACACCTAAGCTGCACATTACTGATCATTTCTCATAGAAAAGCTAATCATTTTGTGACATTTTCAGAGGTTGAAGTGGGCTTAAGTACAGATGTTCACATACATTTTGGGACCGATTGATCCCTGTTATTTTGACAAAATGACCTATGTATTTACAATGATTTTGAATAGCCAAATAGTCTCTCATGACTTCCACGAAGACATGGAGGAAGGGGAGTGCAGCATGGCCGTGTTGCACATTTCTATTGGACGGTTTTAAAGTTGTTCGTTTGTCATTGATTTTCCCAAAACAAATTGAAAATGCAAGGGAGTGGCCCGGTGGTCCAGTGGGTAGCGCGTCAACCTCACAGTGCAGAGGTCATGGTGTCGATCCCGGCTGCGGCCTTCCTGTGTGGGGTTTGCATGTTCTGCGTGGGTTTTCCCCGGGTACTCCGGTTTCCTCCCACATTCCAAAAACATGTATGGCAGGCTGATTGAACACTGAAATTTGAGTTTTACTGTTTTTGTGCTTTCTACTGTCTTTATTAATTTTAGTTTTAGTGTTTATTGTTGTATAAATGATATTTGCTCCATGTAGAGCACTTTGTACGGTATACAGCGGTGGTTGTTTTAAAGTGCTCTGAAGATAATATAAGTTGAAGATAATACCACAAGCATAGTTAACTACTGACTAAACGAAGAAGACAACTTAGACTAATATTCTACGAATATTTAGTCTTAATAACTTTTGTTTTTTTTGTTTTGTAATGCCATTTGTATTTATGTTTAATGCCCGTTTTTGTCACCAGCTGTCATTGTTACAGCTGCAACAGTGGTGAAGGCTCTATATAAAGTTGCATTGTATTGTATTCCTTTTAGCGTAGCACCATCTAGTGGATGCACCAAAACCACAACCACAACCACCACCCTCACCATCAGCTTCTCCGACGCCGTGAGCGCCTCAAAATTGCTTGCTGGAACGTCAGGACTCTCCGCGACAAAGGGACCCAAGCCCTCACCATGAGGTCACTTCACAATTACGGTGTCAGTGTGGCATGCCTTTCCGAAGTACGCCTCCCTGATGCCGGGCAGCGACAGCTGAAGGTCCCTGATGTCGATGTGGTCTACAACCTCGACCATAGTGGAGTGACGGACAACAGCGGGCAGCACGGCATTGCAATCGCCCATGCTCCCGAGGCGCAGGCTGCACTGTTGGCGTGGGAACCCATCTCCCCCCGCCTTGCCAAGGTGCGCTTGAGTGGTGCCATTGCCAACATCTCTGTCGTGGCGGTATACGTGCCCACATTGAACGCTGCTGACGTGGACAAGTAGCAGTTCTACCATAAGCTCCAGACGACCGTCAACGGCATCCCCTCCAATGACGTCCTGGTGGTTGCAGGAGACTGGAATGCCGCACCGGAACGGCGACTGACACCACGCGACGAGTGTTGGGGCGCTTTGCTTTGCGAAGACGCTGCGACAATGGCGAACGGCTCATTAACTTCGCCGCCTCAAATCGCCTAGTCGTGATGAATACACGCTTCCAACACCCCCAACTTGAACGATGGGAGGACGACTAACCAGATTGACTACATCCTGGCTCGGTCACGTTGGACGAGTTCAGTCCTCGACGCGCAGGCGTACCGTGGAGCAGACATTGGCGGCAAGAGCAGCTCTGACCACGCGCTTGTGCGTGCTACCCTTCGCATCCGACTTAAAGTTAATCGCCCTCCAAAACGCACCACGCGGATTGATGTCACGAAACTGAAGCTGGATGTGGGGAAGAATTTTCAAGTGGAGGTCCAAAACCGCTTCGCTCAACTACAGCCGGCTTTCGATTAGCCGGAGCAGGAGTGGCGGGAACTCAAATCTACCATCGCTGCATCTGCGCGCGCACACCTCAGCTCCACCAAACACCAGAAACGCGACTGGATCAGTGCAAACACGCTGGCCCTTGCAGAACGATCCAGGCTTGCGCAAGTAACGGGAGCAGCCAACTTCCGCAAACTACGGCGACTTCCCACTTGGGCGATTCGGGCAGATCGAAATGCCTATTGGTGCGACTTTGCCGAAGAAACTGAGAGGGCCGCCGCTGTGGGAGATACCCGCAAGCTTTATCAGTTGGTACAAAAGGCGAGCCGGAAATCCACCGGAGTCAGCGAAACGATCTGCGCAGAGAACGGTTCTGTGATAACCTCCTTAGAGGAATGACTGCAACGTTGGCGCGAACACTTTGAAGTTCTACTCAATCACCCACCACCACTGTTAGCGCCTGTGCTTCCTGCAACTGATGAGGAGTACGACTGCAGCTCGGACCCGCCTATGGTAGATGAAATTCAAGGCGTCCTGCGTCAGCTCCGAAATAATAAAGCCCCAGGCGAAGACGGCATCCTGGCGGAAGTATACAAAAGCGACATTGACGTCTTCGCAGCGTGGCTTCATCGTGTCTACAATGCCGTGTGGACTTCCGAGACCATCCCGGATGACTGGAGCGAAGCAATGTTACTACCCCTTTTCAAGAAGCCAACTACAGAGGCATTAGCCTTCTCGATGTGGCTGCAAAAGCATTTGTCGTCCTTCTGCTGAAACGCTTCCAGATGGCCCGTGACCGCCAGACTCGCCTAACTCAGGGTGGCTTTCGCCCCGGAAGGGGATGTGTAGACCAGATCTTCAGTCTGTGTCGCACCCTGGAGCAACGATGGGCCTACCAACAACCGACAGTCGTGTGCTTCATCGACTTTGCCGCGGCATTTGATTCAGTCGACCGGGGTGCTTTGTGGAGGATCATGCAGGCTGACGGGATCCCTGTGAAACTGCTTCGGCTCATCCAGGGGTACTACCGGTCAACCCGAGTCCGAGTGTAGGCCTACGGCAGCGAATCAGAAGCCTTTGAGGTGCGGTCGGGTGTCCGACAAGGCTGCGCGCTCTCGCCAACCTTGTTGGCGGTCGCTGTTGCTGGAGGGCGTGAACCTTGGAAAACGTCGATTCCTTCACGTATCTCGGCTCCTCTGTGGTTCCGTCGGGGTAAGGAGAAGCGGAAGTCGATCACCGCATCGGAGCCGCCAGATCCGCCTTCGTGCGCCTACAACGCCATCTGTGGGGTCGCCGCGAGATCTCGGCGGTGACGAAGGGGCGCGTCTACCAGGCGATCGTGCGGACCCTCCTCCTCTATGGCTGTGAGACTTGGCCTTTGAGAGTGTCTGACCAGCGCAAGCTGGAAGTCTTCGACAACGATTGCCTCCACCGTATTCTCCGCCGCCGTCGATCAGACCGGGTCCCTACTGCTGACCTTCGCCGCTGCCTGCACCTTCGTCCCTTACAAGCGATTCTCCTGCAATGCCGACTCCGTTGGTTCGGACATGCGGCACGCCACCAGGAGGGCGAGTTGATCAGGGATGTTCTCCTTCCTGCTCCTTTGCCAGCCTGGCATAAGCGGTGTGGTGGACAAGTCAAGACCTGGGCCACCATGATGAAAGAAGACCTCACGTACCTCTCCGGCCCCCAGGTGGTGGGTCTGCGACGGTGGAACCAGGACTGGCTGAGGCTGTCGGTTGACCTGGCACAGGATCGCCGCGCTTGCGCCGCCATCATCAGGGATGTCGTGCGTGCCAAGGAAGAAGCCGGTTCAACCCGCCCAGGGTGAAGGCCGTTGCAAACAGCAACATCGAGTGGATGCGTAGCGCAACCGCAGCCACTACGACATGCATCGTATAATGCAGCGCGCCTTATATATGAAAACAGTTTTAAAATAGGCCATTCACTGAAGGTGCACCTTAGAATCCGAATGTGTGCGAATACAATGTGCACATTTGTAAACTTGTACATGCCAAATGTTGAGTTTTTCCTCTCCATTATTAAAAGTCAAATCAGGCAGGTAAAACAGAGTGCCTTTATTTTAGATTTCATTTATGTTAAGCCTAGAAAGACCCCTTTTAATTTCTTTTTTAAGTAAAAAAAAAAATGTTGGCCATTTATGTTCAGTGAAATCCATAAAAGTAATTATAATGCAACAAAATAGTTTTCTCTATATCTTATTCGTCGAAGGATTAGCTTTGAGCTAATGATGGAGCGGGCTGATTCAAAAGGGGGTGTTTACCTGTTTCCGCAGCAATGGCAACGTAGGCCAGCATCATCCAATCAAAATTGCTCTTGGAGCCAACTGCAGCCCGAACAGGAAATGAGCAGTGTAAAATCGATGTATGGATGCAT